ACAGACAGACAGACATACATACAGAGAGAGAGCGAGAGAGAGAGAGAGAGAGAGAGAGAGAGAGAGATAGAGAGAGAGAGAGAAACGTAGAAAGGGGGTCAGCCTAGGGTTGAGACAGTTTCGGTTCTAGGGACTATGGTTTAGGGTTTAGCGTGTAGGGCGCTTGTAAGTTCTTGCAAAGTGCGCTCATTCTGTGTGCCGGATGTCGAAGCCTGAGCCCTTAATGTGGCACCTACGTACTTTAAACGCCAACAGCGACGTGTCAGTGCCGAGTCATGACCCCAGTCCTTAAGGTCTGTAGGGGTTTAGGGTTTAGGGTTTAACCTAAAAGACCGGCTTTGACAACTTGCAACCCAAGAATGGTCCAACACTGATTCCATCTGAGTCCTTTGTTTTGTGCCAGATCTTCGTACTCAGGGACAGCGCTAACTTGGGGTGGGGGGGGGGGGGGGGGGNNGGGGGCTGGGTGGGGGTCCATGGTTTGGAATCTGTGGCGCATGGTGTCGAGAGCGAGAATGTACCAACAACTGCAATCGCCGGAGTTGTGGCTGCAAGCTGCTGGTGACGGCGATGATGCTCACGATGCCGATATCGATGTCGATGATGGTGGTGATGATGACGGCGATGATGGGGCGGTGGTGCTTGTCAGGTCACAAACCTCCTGCCTAAAGACTCTATGTGAGGACGGCGACATTGAGGGCGTCGCAGCTGCCTGCGCTGAGGGCGCGAAGCACCTCGAAGGTTTTAAGAACGGCTGCCTTAGGTTCTCAGGGTTTGGGCCTTCCAGGCTACTTCCAGGTTGAAAACAGGATTTCTGCCGGTGGTTCTGGGCACCCCCGTTAGGGGATGGCAAGCTTGAAGCTTGCAGAAAGCTGCCTCCTGGAACCCAAACAAAACCCATTTCCTGGCTTCGCTTGTGGGTTGCTTGGACCGTCTAGTCTTGCTATTTTACATACTTCATCATTTTCATCAATCGTGCTGCGGCTGGTGTGCTTCACTACATGCTACTTGTCACTGTTCTTGTTGACAACAGCCGTGGCCAGCATCGTTGAAACAATGGCATTGTCCAAGGCTGGATGTTCAACACCCAGAATTCGGGTCACAACCGTTGGTGATTGCCACGCTGCTCGGCGCGGTTCAGGCTTAGGCAGCACGGGCAGGGCCTGACGGCTCCAAGGAGACCTTTCTAAGAGTCTAGCACACTTAAAGACCCTAGGCCCTAGACTGGATATCTTAAGCCTTATGGACCTTGAAGCCCTGAGTGGCCCGAACCGTCTCTCTCTCTCTCTCTCTCTCTCACCACCGCGTCTGGCACCCTAAAGACAGAGGGGAAGCTGGGCTTTGCTGGCGCGGACGGGGTTTCTGAACATGAGGTGTGCCCTACTTAGCAGCAGGTCCTTGGAACAAGGATAAGCATCCTACTGAGTCCTACTAGTTTGCACTCACGTTGATTGCAGGTGCATGTGTTCAAGATCTCGCTCCTAAACCCGTAATGTTAAACCCTGGCCCACCAGCCCATCCAGTGCCTCCCCTTGAACCTACTGGTTTTCAGGAAGGTTTGGGGAGGCTGTCAGGTCCAGGAAGCAGCAGCGCACGGTTCCGGCCTTGCCAGCTTCGCAAAGCTTCAAAATGAAATCCTCGGAAGGTTCGTCGTAGTAGGGTAGAGGGTTTAGGGTTTAGGATCTAGGGTCTAGGGTTTAGGGTTTAGGCTAGGTATCCTGAAATTAACCTTTTGTGGTACTATCATCCCTACGTAGTCCCATAGGTTCGCCTTGAGTTCCCCGAGGATACTGGACAGAAAAGAGTTCAAGCAGCTATCGCTAGGCGTCGTCAGTTTGCCATACAGGGCCCTAAACCCTAAACCTTAAACCCTAAACCCTAAACCTTAAACCCTAAACCCTGAGCCCACGGCCAGGTTGAATGGCCACACCGAGTGTGTGCACTACCTGCTTGAAGAGAAGGCGCCCCGAAGTTTGTTTAGGGTTCCTTATGATGTGGGTTTAGGGTTTAGGGGGGGGGGGTATAGGACTTCGGGAAATCGTCAAGTTCAGTGAAGCATCGTGTGATAGGAATAGGGGTTTAGCGGCTCCAGGCGTGGGTAGAAGTGGCCGGGTGGTGGCATGAAGAAGCATCGGCCTTCGATGATTCAATCTTCAGCGATGCATGTCGAAACTGCGGGAAGCACAAATCCTGAACCTCCCGTACCCCCAAAGCCCTAAACCCTAAACCCTACACTTTAAGCCGGAAACTGCTTTGTGAAGGCCGATGTGGAGCAAAGAAACAAGTTCGGGTGGACTCCGCTACTCTCCGCGGCTGCCAAGGGAAACCTCATGCTGTCAGGCGCCCGACCTCTGCAGTCTTCGGCTTGTGGAGTTTAGGGTTTAGGGTTCGAGTTTAGGGTTTAGGGTTTAGAGCTTAGGCTGTATACGGGGAGGGTTCAAGGTTTGAGGAGGGTTTATTAATGGTTTCAAGTTTCGAGGTCTTTGATTTGGGGTTTATGGTTTCAGTGCTCCTAGTATAAATGCTGCAAGCCTGTCGAGTATTTTATTACCAGTACAGTTAGGGGTATCAAGCATGGTAAAGCTCTGCCTGTAACTGAGTTACTAGGTCGCTACACTGCAGTTCATGTTTTGGGTTACCTTAGAGGATGTCTTGCATTTAAAACTGGTTAAACCAATGGAGATAGGTGTTTGTAATACCTACCAAGCCTCAAGCCCCAAAAACGTTTTGTTGAGGGCTGATACACCGTAACTGCGTGTGTGGGCTCACGCCTCGCCGTCTCTGGGCATTGGTGGGTTTTAGGGTTTAGGGTTCAGGGTTTAGGGTTTGGCAGAAAGAGGCTCAAACAACACCCAAACATAAACCTCCTTACAAAGTCCCCAAACCCTATAGGCCCTAAACCCTCAAACCCTAAAGCCCTAAAACCCTAAACCCTAAACCAGCTCTAGCACCCTAACGGCCCTAACGCCCTAAACTCAACTCCAATCCTTCAAGCGCAGGCTACCTAATCGCGCGGATGGCGGACATCCAGGTTCAGGCACACCACGAGCCCTTAAGAAGCCCAACAGACGGGGAAGGGAAGGGTTTGGCTAGAGCCTTAGTCCCATGATCCTTCAAGTGCCCTCAAAAGGAGCCCCAAGTCTCTAAGCCCCATGGTCCTTGAAGTCAGCCCGAAGCCGATGAAGCCGTGAAGGCAAGCTTATCTCTATATATATATATATGTACATGCATGTGTATGTATGCGTATATATATATGTATATATGTATATATATACACACATATAGAGACAGAGAGTATATATACTTAGGCCTCAAAGGGGTTCCTATGTGGGTACTTTAAGGCCTCGGTATATACTGTATAGGCACATGGAGCTTTTGGGAAAATGATGGTGACAGCTTTGAAGAAGCGGACCATGGCCGTCTCAACTTCACCCGGACTCCGGAATCGAAGTCTGCTGCTGCCCATGAGCCAAGAATCCTATATTTTCTGATATGACATCATCATATTATGTTTTTTTATGTTATGTTGTCTTTTTTGTGTATTCTACTATTTCATCTTTTATGTTCTGTTGAAGTATATTTTGCTGTATTTTCCTTTACGGCAGTCGATCATGCTCCAGACGCTCGTGCAGCTAGAACTCACGAAAGCCCCATATCGGTCGCAAGTCTAAGCCGCATGCATCGCGTAGCTTCTGCACTCCAGGGCCTCTGTCAGCAATACCTAAATTTAAATGTACCTAAATACGAGCCTCCCAAAGGGTCCAAGTACCATTATGGTAGCTACTTAGTAGCCATTTGGGCCCCAACAGTACAGACTATACTAGTACTTGGACCCTTTGGGGCTCTGAATCGCTGAAGTATGTTGCGGCAGGGATCCATCGCAGAACGCCGATGACCCAAACGCCCGACCAGGACAAGCTGGGACGAACACCACTGCATAACGCCGTTGCCGCTGGCTGTGACGAACTGGCCAAAGGTTGCTGGCATGATTTAGTTGACATGGGTTCCTAGTATGATCAGAGTCGAATATGCCCCCCAAATCCAATATTGATTGGTAACGCCCCCATCAGGGGGCCACAAATTGGATGAGGGCGGCGCAAGCCTACTTGATTCCCGCAGTCTAGGGGTTCACATTGCTGAGCCGTGAGGAGATTTTCGAACACGACCGATACCGAAAATTCGTACCGGGGCATCTCCGCCAGTTCATCTTGCTGCTGCTAGGAGTCTTAGGGGGCGTCCCGGCATGATCTGGTGCCCACCTGCTGGCTTCTGTTGCGTGCCGTTTGTCGTAATGTGCTTTTGAGATATGGCCTTTTTTTGGGTACCGAAGATATAGGTTGCTATACGTACTGACGGATGACTGCGATTCAACAGCCACGTCAAGAATGAAAGAGCAAGCAATGCTCATGGTGTCAGAGTGTGCTTCGGTCCCTTTGGGGGTTCACGGGAGGAGCCCAAAAAGACCTCAAAGCGCCCTGAAACAATTGAAGCAACCTACAAAAAGCTAAATGAGAAACTCCCCTGTAACGGGAAGGCTCCTAAGCCTAATAAGCCCTATTATGAACCCTAATGGGAATCAGTGCATGGTACTCCGGCGAGGTCTGATCGAGGAGAAGGCGGATGTGAACGCCCGGACCAAGGCGGCCAGGGTTGAGGGTTTAGGGGATGATCGAGTTGAGGGTTTTAGGGTTTAGAGTTTGGGATTCTCGAGTTGAGGGTTTTAGGGTTTAGAGTTTAGGATGATCGAGGTTAGGGTTTAGGGTTTACGATGTTAGAGTTCAGGGTTTTCGGGTTTAGACTTTAACGATTCTAGAGTTTTTTGGTCTGCCGCAGGGTTTAGTGGCTGTGGGAATCCAAAATACCATATTAGCCCTCGCCCTGAACCTTCCACCCTCTGACTTGGTTAGGGTGTGGTAGTTTGGCTTGTAAACCCTAAACGCTAAACGGCTAAACCCTTTAAAAAAAGAGAAGCAGACATAATACTAAACCTGAACCCTAACAAAAAACCTAAACCCTAAACCCCTTGACTGTGGGCCTCCTTCGATCGGGTTTTTGAAGGACATTCTGTAAAGACCACCAGTCTCACTACCCGAAAACCTCACACACGGCTTGCTCCGAGTTAGAAAGGATGTGGTTTTCCTTCGTTTTCCCTCCCCCAAAAAACCCTAAACCCCTAAACCCTATGGCCCCGTATACCCTAGACCCCAAAAGCCCCTAAACCCTATACCCTAAACCCTAAAACCCTAAACCCTACATACCCTAAACCCTAAAACCCTAAGCCCTATATACCCTAAACCCTAAAACCCTATACCCTAAACCCTAAAAACCCCCATAAACCCTAAACCCAGAACCCTCGAAACGCGGCCTGGAGGATGGTAAAACCGTGCTCTCCATCGAGTTGGGCCGGCCCAAGAGGCTCCTTTCTGACGTTGGGGCTCTATGTGTTTGGGGCTCTATGTGTTTGGGGTTTAGGGGTCTAGAAATTTGAGGCTCCAGGGGTTCAGGGGTTTAGGGCTCTAGAATATAAGGGTTTGGGGGTTTAGGGTTTAAGGTTTAGGGGTTCACGGTTTGGGGGTTCAGGG